AGCTAAACTCTGCAGGACACCGGCCCTCCAGGACCGAGTTTGGACAGCCCTGCCTTATTAGCTGTTGCATGTGTTATAGTCACAAATTTAATGTCAAGGCATGTTCTGTCAGTTTTACATTTTACACATGAATTGAGTAAACATGAATTTTACTAAAGGCCTAGGGCTGGACCATATATTTTTGGGGTTTGAAAGACTGGATTAAGCACCAATGCGCACAAGCAAATCCTGTTAATCAGTCAAAATCATATATAAATCAAAACTCAGTATGAAAGATCAGTAAGTGAAAAACTCTGCTAATGAGAAGACCAGTATTGGAATTCTGCAGATTAGCGGGGAAATAAATTGTATTTATTATTCAGAATCCATATTTGGATAGGAAAATTGTTTACTTGAAAAAGTCAACATAAATATTAAATAATTTGTTAATGCAGAGAACATAATTCAATGTTTTAATCAAACTAATCAAACCCTTAGTAATAATAAAAGTAGTAATAATCTGAAGTCTTATGAGGTACCGGGTTTTTTTTGTTTTTTTTTTTTTGTTTTTTTTTACTGTCTGCATGTAGGCAAAACCTTTCGCCTAAAATTTCGTAACACCCGGAACTCGTGCTTCAGCCAATCAGAGTGCTCAATACAAGCATGTGGCTGATGACAATACTGAAACATGGAGGCTGTAAGTCGTGTGTGACTTTTGAGAGCGAGAAATGTGGCCGGTTGTATTTGTAAGACATTGTGTTTGTTATGGTATAAATGAGGAAGCTGTAAAATTGGTTTACATGCTTAAATCAACTTAGGTTTTCTGTCACTGGAGTGTCCTATGGAGGGTTTAGTAAGTGAATTACCTCTACTTCTAGTAATTTTTTTTAAATCAGAGTATAGTTTACGCAAGGTGTAGCAGCAGTTAGTTACGTCTGTTTCATCTTGAAGTTTCGTGCATTTTGCATTATTAGACAAGGAAGTGCGCTGCATTAACAGGGATGTCATGCTTTAAACCTCGAGGAAATTTCCGGAAGACAAGCAGCGTGAAATTTTGCATTAACTTTTTTCCCCTCCTTGACCGAAATTATTCGGAATAATTGAAATCGACTGAATTGGACGAAAAGATCGATGCATGTCGGGCAGGGTCACTGGGGACACCGACTTAATTTGAGTTGCAGCTGTATAGGGATCAGATTCGCTCGAGCCATTTGGGTTTTCCAGTCAAAATGCTGCTGTCTCTGGTCGTGCACACGTACTCGTTGCGGTACTGGCTTCCAGCAGCGGTGATGCTGGGCACCGCTCCTGCTTATCTGCTGTCCTGGAGCGCCTGGCGGCTGCTGTCCACTTTGCTACCGTCCAGACTCTATCACACTGTGGATGACTGTGTGTATTCAGTGTATCAGAGTATTGTCCTGTTCTTCTTTGAGAACTACACGGGAGTGGAGGTTAGTATGACTTTTTTGATTTTAGTGCATTTACCTTTTTTCAGCTTTGTTCTTCACTAACCACATGTAACTTCTGAATGTTTTATCCAACTAAAAACAACATAAGTGAAATATATATGTATATATATATATATGGTTTGACTTATTAATGGCAATATATCCTAGACATGTACCAGGGGGCCATATTTCACTTATGTTGTATATATATATAATGTGTGTGTGTATCTATATATGTATGTGTGCATGTATATGTGTATGTATAAATAAGCAGCATTTCTACTTTGAAGTGTATCTTTCTATCTAACTATCTACAGTATCTATCTTTCTATCTGTCTATGGGCGAATTCCAAATGGAAGTGAGCATCCCTATGCCCTACTCCCTTCGAAGGGCAGAGCCCTTGAAGTGTGTTCTTTGAAGGGTGTTGGGCATTACTGTCTAGTATAAGCGTTTGGAACTCCCTTGGCGAAGGGAATGACTGACCAAATGTTACCTTGACAACGCTGCACGTGCTTGCAGCATTTGACACTCCATGAGTTGTTGTTAAAGTGAGTCTATTAAACTTTTTCAAGATAAACCTGCTTAAACGTGCTTTCACTACCATCTTAAATCTTAAACGTGCTTTCACTACCATCTTAAATCATATTTCTATCACTGATGAAAAATATTTTGTATTATATTAAAATAAAGACAAATTTAATAAGCCTATTTTACTTGCGTTTGTATGTGGTCGAAATCACCCACAACTTTGCTTTAAAATGCATTGCAAGATCTAACCGAAGATCACAAATGGAAATCACTTCCGTGACGTGACCATCGCATGTTCCCTTCGCAAACGGACTTCTGGAAGGGCCTTTCGTGAAGGGATTCAGTTGTTCACTTTTGTTGGGAACATCCCTACAAATGTGCCCTCCCGAAGTGTCCTTCAAGGGCGCAAGAAAGCCGTTTGGAATTCGCCCATATATATATATATATATCATATTGACTCGAATATAAGACGATGTTTTTTTTCTTGGAAATACATCTGAAAAAACGCGGTCGTCTTATATTCAGGGTCTAGACTTTGACATGTCAATAATACACCCACAACAATAGGTGGCGCCAAATATGCATAAAACGAGTGTGCCATGAAATACTTAATGTAATGCTTGTTGTAAAGATCGCGAGAAAAAACCAAAAGACCTTACAGCTGCATGAGTCGTGATTGTCACGTTAGCCTGATGGGACCAAATTCCCTTTGTGATTTTAAAACATGTGTTTTACTGAGAAAAAACAAGATTGGGTTTTTAAAAAGGCTTTTTCCAAAAGGTACACCTGGAAAAAGGGGGGTCTTATAATCAGGGTCGTCTTATATTCGGGCCAATACATTATATATATATATATATATATATATAACAAACCTTACTGATCTCAAACTTCTGAACAGCCGTGTATGTGTATTAGGGGTGGAACGGTTCAACTTACTCATGGTTCGGTTTGCATCACGGTTTTAAAGTATCAAGGTTTTCAGTACGGTTCGGTATGTGGTATGTTTAGGGAAAAACTATACTGTCAAATAAAAATAAAGAAAATAAGAATAATCTATCTAACTACAAGATATATATTTATCTCACCTAAATGTTCGATCATGCAGCGCATTTTTGTTTTTACACTCGTGCAATTGTTGCACAATAGCTTACACGCAGCACAAAAAAGTTGCTCAAGCAAGTGCCAAAACATTTAAAATACTTTTCTTACATAACGTTGTAACATTACATTCTAAATTAAAACTTACTACTGACAGAAACAGTCAGCTCTACTGCCTTTCCTTTTGCTTTTGAATCTTTATTACCTCCACGAGTGCCATCTATTATTGCCTTGTTTATCTAAAAGTGCTTTTTTCCTTTAAAACTAGCCAACAAGCCATATGTGTTACTGTGAAACACAGTAGACTTTAATTATATGCATTTATGGTA